ATATGTATATGTGTGTATGTGTATATATGTATATGTGTGTGTGTATGTGTGTATATGTATATGTGTGTGTGTACGTGTGTATATGTATATGTGTGTGTGTACGTGTGTATATGTATATGTGTGTGTGTACGTGTGTATATGTATATGTGTGTGTGTACGTGTGTATATGTATACGAGTGTGTGTGTGAATGTGTGTTGTGTGTGTGTGTGTATACGAGTGTGTGTGTGTGTGTGTATACGAGTCTGTGTGTGTGTGTGTATACGAGTGTATGTGTTTGTATACGAGTGTGTGTGTGAATGTGTGTGCCTGTGTGCGCGTGCGCGCGTGCGTGTGTGGCCAAGAAACCCACTTAATACATTCCGCTTAGAAGGAAGGTGTAGAGCTATTATGAAGGCCGCGTGCTTTTGAGCGACAATTCACTTATACTTAATCACAGCGTGCTGAAAGGATTAATGGAACCCGGTACGGTTGTCAACTGGCGGTTACAATAGTGGTGGCCTCATCCTATATGAATCCTCTCCGAGGCGGCTGTCGTACTAACTAAATCGCTCTTATCTTCCGCTCTGTCGTCCTTATAGGGACGTCTTGACTCAAAGCAACGGAATTATCTCGGCCTTTGTCGCCACGCGGAGTGGACTCCTCCGGGTGCAAACGTTCCTCGATCAGAACATCTCCGAGTCTGAGTAAGTAAGAAAATACTTATTTTTACCATTTCGAGTTATAATGAGATACCTTAGGAGTCTCGAATTAGCTGTATTTAATTTACTTCGAATTGTTCGGTGCAATCTCGGATGCTCGGCTCATCACGCGCTTATTTTTAGGTAGAGAATTAATACATTCAAAATTCATATAAACGCTGAAATTAAAAAGGATAAGACGGAATGATAAAACGGGCTCGATACGAATACGTTTCGGTTCGCGTTCAGATATGTTCAGATATTAAAATAGAATCTTTCTACACACTGACATATAATGCCAACTATATATCACGAACTACACAAGGTGGAAGGCTACGGAAGGTAGCTTCTAGAAATTTCGACATACAGACATACTGAAAGTCATATTAAAAATATCTAAAAAGGAACTTAGCATGTCATTAGACAAACAAGTGTTATGAAAGCATCACTGCCTCTGTCTTGGTACCCCATATGGCTAAGTCCTCGGCACTGGGCGATGCTGGTTCGAGTCCCAGAATGAAACATACTCCCCCTGCCGAGCTTTACCCGCAAGCTGAGTTTCTAAGTACAGTACGGAACATTTATCTATTTGTGAATGTTTGCAGAAAATTCTACAATAAATATCCTCGATCAATAGACGAACTATTCTACAAACGAGCCGTGGACTTCTATTATCATTCAAATGCATCCAAGGAGGCTTTTGTCTACTCTGTGCCATTTGACGCTGGAGAAAGGTAAACACAGTTAAATTTGGACTAGCTTAATTAGTTGGTCACACGAAGCGCATAATTAACACGAAGGACATTGAGCGTTGAAGAGATCCCGTGTATTCTACGATAAACCGTATCGTTGAGTCAGGTTACGAACTGTGGTCACGTTAGAATTGTTCCTGCCTCTTGAAAACGACAATTTTTTTTTAGCCGATCTTTCTATGAATGAACAAACAAACAACTATTGCACAGTATTTGGTTCACAAAAATAAAATTTTTAAGTGACATGTCATCGCCATGATGTACAATACGCGTATGGCTTTTGGTTGGCAATCATATAGAGCTAACATGATTTTGGATTTCTAAAAAACATGGGGTAAGTAAATACGGACCTTTGGGATAATGTTACTTTGAAATGATTCGATGTGTTTGAAACGATCTATATGAACGCGGCGTGTTTCTTCATCAGACGGTCAGAACACTGCTGCCTGCAGCAGTCATCTCGTTTGAGACATGTGAAGAATAACCCGCGGGTGAATTGGGTGTAGTAATTGACGATTTCGTGAATACGGTCTTGTACTTGATCTGGTTGAATTTCGTTGGATCTCGAGGTTCTTCACCTCCTTCCCAGTAATGTTGATCCTGTTGCTGGCCTCTCGAACCTCCTCTATCTCGGTCTGACGGATAGCGCTCTATGGCCCGTTCGCCCTCGCGTAACGGGACAGTCCCCCGCCGCAAGGCGTGAGCACGTAATCTCCTCCTGTACACCTGGACATCTGCTAAGAATGCGTCCGATGATATTAAATTTAATCAAGTGTCCCTATAGATTCAGTTTGATTTGTATTGTCTCTTGTGCATGTATGAGGTACCTTATACGACTACAGGAAATCTGAAGAATTATGGACTGGGCTATTACTATAGCAGAAGGCTAGTTGCGCTCTCTTCAATATCGGAAATGAACGATAGTATTTTAGCGTCCTCCATTGTCAGACATGCTCCTGCCTATTAATTTCTACTTACACAATGGTAGCGAGTTATGTTTGTCCAAATTTGCTGTGAATTGGCGACCATTTGTGTCTGTGTTTATGACTGTTTGATCGTTTTTAGCTTATTTCTTTCTTTCATGTGTATATTTGTATATACTATAAAAGTACGAGTACCTACAACTGAGTAGCACTCAGTTTAAACTATGTAATGCTTAGCCTGGCCAAAAGTGACGCTCGCGTATTGATGGAACAATGTGCCACACATTCGTATCTGATAAAAACAAACTACTAATTCTAATGTATTTTTGATGAAAGAGAACAGGCGCATTCTGTGTTTTCTTACTAGAGAACGATGCTGATGGGCGATAGGACTAAAGTCAGATGTTTAAACAGAATCGCTCGCTAATATTCAACTCGTTGTATAAGGCACACCCACCAGGACCACAGGCTCCCGAACGACTCTTATAAAGAAACCAGTGAATGCGTTCTAGCAAATTACAAACACTGGGCCATCCCAGGCCCATGAATACATACAGCCATAGGCGCGTCGAATAGATCTGGGGATGACATGCAACGAGAACGCGAGGAAGACAACGTAGGCCACGTACCGCAAGACTGCGGATTTCCCTTGTGCTATCCGAACTAATAGCCTTCCGGTGTCCTGGAAGAGTTCGAGAATTGCCCCAGAGGCACCAACCATAATTTTGCTTCGTTGTTCGTATGCAATGGTTTAGTGGTGATGAAAACTGGTAGCCATAGCGGCCGAACGATATCCGTCAGCCTACGATTCACGGGTAGAAATGTTTCACCATATGGCCTTGCCGAAGGCCGGTATAATCGAGCTTATTTACGAGACAAATAAAAAGCGCTACGTAAGGTTACAAAATAACAGAATCCTAAAGAAATACATAGTGAATAAGTTTTACCGTAGCATGTTATGTTTGTAGTTTTCGGCTAAACTATTGTGTTTGAAGGAACCTTTTATCTGGAGATTTGGCAGGGAGAATTGTAGAGCCTACACACTAGTGATATCAACATAACGTGATGGGTGACCTCCTAGCAAGGTTAATGGGGCCATTGTAATTAAAGCGTATGGTACTGTCAGATTTGATTTATTCCCTCGTACCAAAGGTAAAACCTACATACATATAAATAGCTCGAAGAGGCTTATTCGATACACACGTTTCAATATGTTGTTGATGTTTAATGCTGTTAGATTTTTCAAAAAAAGTAAATCTGCAACTTGCTTAGAGATAAATTAGCATTGTCGCCTGTATTTTGTGATGCGTTGACCTTCGTCGATTGTGACCCGAATCCGATCCGATGCAACGTCCTGCATCGACTCGTTATCGTGCTATATGTAGCCCAGTTAGTATAGCTGAGCTAATACCGCAGTTGAATTGCGATTGTTATTGTTGACGTATTTTCAGTCTGCAAGCAGAAGGCACGCCTATCGTGATGACAGCGACACGTGTCGTGATGTTGGGTAACTCGGAGAACGCAACCGCTCCGGTAGCCGTCGTGGGCGTACAGATCGACCATCAAATCTTTACGGAAAAATTCTTCAATTCCACTTTGACCGCTGTAAGTTTAACTCGTTTTTTTTTTTGTCCTTTAACACATTTGACTATGTTCATTACGATGATATAGGTAGGGCGCGCCCACTAGTAAGCCTAACCAGGGCGGATCATGCTGGACTTATTAAGGTTTCTTCAATAAGCCTGTGAAATTAGATAGTAACCACTTGCTAATACGGAAATTTGCGATTGTCACATGTACACAATTACTATAGTAAAGAGATGCACATTAGCCACCCAGACTACACTGCCTTCGCTAAATTCGATCCGAATATATCGTCTAGCTTATCTTTCCATTCTCCAGTGATATATATACACTATTAGGTTGTTCAGGATGCAGCGTATGTATCTTTTCATTTCAAAACTTTCTTTCTTTTTTTTCTTTTTAAAAGACTTTATTTTCAATCAATGGGCATCATTACTATCTTTGATTTTCTGCCAATAACTTATTCATTCCACAAGTACAAAAGTCTATGGAAGCTCGAATTTCAGTGCCGACTTTTCTTTTTTTAAACAACAGTTAAACTTTAAAGTAAGTTTGGCTAAATTTTGAAGAATGATTTAGGGACGATAATTTGGCGAATAGTGCGGCTGCCAGAGAGGCTGCTCACGCCTTCATTTCACTCTTGCACTTTATCAGAAGGACCACTTCCGTATAAGGTGGGACGGTGAAGCCCAGTAAGAATGCCTTATCTCTATGCCCTAATATGCCTGACTGCGTAATGAAAAGTCTTTCTCCAGTCATTGACAAAATTCATGAACCAGGGCAACTGCTACTATCAAGATGACGTCCTGCCAGTTCGATCACATACATCCACTAACACGGCCGTTTCCAATTTTATTGTTATCACAGGGCACAATTTAAAAGAGACGCAATAACGGATCATGAACAATGAGAAACAACAGTCGCAGTCTTCGTTTTTAGACCGCGTTAAAATTCTGAAGTACCCATAGGTTCAGTCTTATTAGTTTGACTGAGGTCAAGAAGCATGGTGTTTTTGCATTCGTTGAACTTCAACGTTAATACCCCGTATAGTTAGAGGTGAATCAGCCTCCACTACAGTTCTCAACCCTTCGTCATTCGAGACTTTTCTAATTCAAAATGACCTTCCGGAATGTTTCTATTCTTCATCCTTTATATGGCGAGCTGTCTTCTTCTTCTTCTTCTTCTTCCAAGATGGAACTCGTACTCGAAACTACTTGATTGTCCTGATTCTATATGATTCATTAAAACTAACCTGTTGAAGAGCGTTGTGATGATATTTGTGTCAACGGCTTCAAGCAGGAGGAGCATTTTTTTTTTTATTTATTTTATTAGAATTTAAAGAAGTGGCGCGAACGCTCGTACCGTTATAAGATAGTATTATCTTGAATTATAAACTTAAGTCTATCACGGTTCATACTGAAAAAAAAGTCATACGAAATACGGAACATAGTCAAATGAAAGAAAGATGGAATTATTCAAAACATATTATGAATTTTTAGGATAAAATTAGACTTAGAAGATTAGAAGAAAATTAGAAGAGAATAGACGTACATCGAATAGATACCTCTATCGAATAGACGCGATCTAAGCGATTTCGTAAAATGCCATTTGTCGTTGTGCTGTCAGCGACTACGTGGCTATCACCGAAGACGAACGTCGGTGTAACTGCTATTGAGTTAGTTTTTTTTTTTTTTTTTTATCTATTTCCTTTAAGATTACTTTGAATCTGCTCTTCTCTAAGCCGATCATTTGTCTTTGCCTATTGTAGTGCGATCAGGTTGCATCAAAAGATTGCAAATTCAAATGCAACAGTGAAGCTAGCGGGTTCGACTGTTATCTTCTTGATTCAAATGGTTTTATCATCTCCACTGCCAACTCTTCAGATGTAAGTGCCTACACCCCACCTCTACGTACGAAGAAAGCGTAGCTTCGTTTATTTCGACACGTTAGCTTTTTTGCACAGGTCGTCACAGATTACTATTACGATTCAATATCGATCCTTGCTGCGATATTGGCGATCGTACCTTGTTTCCGTGGTAGAGGATTTTAAGTTATATATAGTGCCTTAAAGTAGGTCAGGTAGTGGAAACGTTATGGAGTTAAAAAAAAAAAACTGCTGGGTCAAATCATGTGGGGAACATATATATGCACTAGTTGGATGCGGCTTTGAAGAAGCAGTCTTCGAGGTCATATATGCACTAGTTGGATGCGGCTTTGAAGAAGCAGTCTTCGAGGTCGCTTTCGTATATGTTATCTGGTGTGGTCTCTATTACTGTTTATTATGCGTGATTAGTGGCACAATACAATGCACCGATGTCGACTGACACGATCACTTTTCAATATACACATAGGTCCTTTTGGTTGGGAAATTCTTCGGGGAAGTCGACGCGGCGGTGTTCAATCAGCTGATCAAGTATAACATCTTTAAGAAAGTTACTATTTATGACTATCAAGCGGTGTGCTTCGACAAGAAGCCAGGCCAAGCTTCAGCCTCTCGTCTGCTTAATCCATTTAAAAGCGTTCTTAACGGCCTCATGTTCCTGCTTAACACCTTCGTAACCAACATCGTTAAGATGGCCGCCATCGCTATCGACACGGAATGGTGGTTCCATGAGCCCCTACGGGCATTCGGATACGGTAAGTGAGTGAACTTATCTTTTAATCGTATGTACGAAAAATTGTTCCTATAAGCATGTCAAACGGTCAAGCAGGGCCGTGAACTTCAGGTCAAGCCATTATGTGCCATTACGTGTTATTATTATTATTATGCATTTTCAACTGCAGTAACTGAAATGCCGTACTGAAATCATTGACCACCTATCAAGGCCCTTGTGGGGAAAAAAGTATAGAGAATTTTTCCGTGTTTTCGTCGTTTGATTTTCATTTTCAACCTTACAATTTCCTGATGCATTTTATAAAGAGGTAAACAAAAATTGGCGCCTTATTTTGAATGATTTTTTGAACTCTTAGATAACGACGCGGTCGCGGGCGACGACGGGGACAATCCCCATCCTGGTATGTCGTTCACTCAAGTGCGGCCCTGTGATAGAGAAATCGACCTCTACATCATGGCCAATTTAGGCGAGAATCCAACGTTCGGCAATGTGCACCAGTGTAACGTGGCTTGCAACCATACCTTCATCGTCCAACCGGTCTATGACAGTAATATGTTGATGGTTGCTATACCCCACGCGTGTCAACACTGTGAACGTGAACGGCTCCGTCTTGAGCCCCATGAAGCGTTGCTGCCTGAATCCAATGTAACAACAGCCTGCGTAAAGACACCGCTGCACAGGCAGAGGCCAGACACGTGCTATAACTACCATGCGGCCGTGAGTGAAAGCATTAACTCAACTTTATATGCGCAATGTCGTTCGCGTATATTATATTGTGCCTCTGATTTGACTATTCCTATCATGCGATTCAACGCCATGTTGAGTCAAGAGCATACGAATACAGTATCATAGAACATTATTGTTATTTACCTGTTCGTTGCATATATATGATTCGTTGAGTATATCACAGAATAGTCTTTAAAAGGATTGTGCCTGATAGTAGTGCGACAGTCCTATCGTTCGCCTGACTCGTAGTCAGTTTGAGCGCCTTAAGGCTGAGCTTCCGAAAAATGTTTTTTACTTTTTAGAGAAAATTAATTCAGTGAACACGCATTGAAATTTCTGATTCAATAAATTGTCCGTGTGACGATCCAAAATAGGCAAACATGACCAAAGTCCTGTTACGACTAGGGTCTTAATGCAGCACGTTTTTGACACGTGTGTTTGACATTTCCGTAAGTGATTGACCCCCTTCCCCCCCCCCCCCAACCGTCTCGAGACATTCGAAATGTAGACACGTAACCGTTTTTATGTTTCTGTTCTGTAATGATAACGTTTTCTTCCTATACGCCTTACTCTCGTGTCTTTTTTCACGATGCGCGACCTGTCGATCCATCTTTATTGACCTGTGTGCACCGTCAGTTTCAACTTAGGTTAATTTAATCCGAATAATTGATTCTTAGTCGCGAAAGAAAACAATAGGTTTCTCTCGTAGTACGTGTACGTTTCCACTCTATTTTAGTTTGTCGCTCCGCCTGCCCTATTCGATTTATTCGAAGTTCTACAGTACCGTTTTTTCGCTGTGGTAGTTAAGTGGCTATGTATTTTTTGTTCATTAAATAATATTCTTGGAGACCAGTTACATTTTTCTTTCTGTTAAAAAAACTTTTTTTATTTAACTTATTTAGCCCGACCGGCGTTTCCGCACCAATGAGCCTATCTGTGAAGAGGGCTACAGCTACTTCTACAAGAAGTTCGCCTGCGTAAGTTAGGGGCGAGTGCTGAACTTCTAATCTTTGACAACCATTATAAACTGCATGTTGCGAATTTGTGATAGGACCACATCATTAACACCTGTTGCCTATAATTTTAACGGATCTCACCGAGTCAGAAAAACAAGCTCGAGCTTTACCTATTGTTGTGCCAATCTACGGACTATTGTGTTCATTTATTCAACTCCAACAACCCACGCTGACGAGTGCTCTGCATTTTCAACCGCAGTAACCCAGGTGGCATACTGGAATCATTTGCTTAGGTTACAGAACAGGTGATAATGTCAGTAGAAAGCCGACTTTATACTCGAACTGACCGTGTACCGTGATTGACGTCACGAAAATTGTGACGAAATCAGTGAGCTTTTTGTCACAAAGTCAGAGGTCAAAGCTAAAAAATTGTATACAGACATTTTACTACATGACATCTTCGGAAGGGTCCGTTGCTTGTGCAGTTGGTTATGAAATTGACTGTGACACTAAAGCTACCGCTTGGAAACGTTCATTGCTCAGTTACTAACATTATATTGTATAGCTATTTTTCTGTGGCAATATGATAATAGCCCCATATTGGAAATTCATGCAGCATAAATCCGAATATTCCGAATCTATGATATGCCCTTTATATCTACGTTATTCCCTATTTTATGTTATATGATTAGGTTAGCTCAGCCTCGCCTGATGTGATATACAGTAAACTAATACGTGAAGGTTCGCTATTTTAACCAGTGTTGTTTCGTTTGCCACGATCCGCCTAGTCGTATCCTGCATTTGTTCTTGTCTATCTAACACGTTTGTTCCTTTTAACGTCCTGGTTATATCACTGATTCGTACGTCCTACAATATGTCGCTTGCCTCTGTTTTGTGCGTATTCTTTCCGGGTGCACTTCGCGCGCGTCTTCAGGAAAAGGAAATGCTAAGAGAGCTTGATCTAAAGGAGCAGTGCGGATCCTCCACGACGAGCTCCCTGAGCTGGCCGCTACTTCTGCTCTGTGGACTCCTCACATTGCTGCTGCGACACCGGGATCCGTTTAATGTAGACCAGGATATCAATCTTAGATTCATAGGCCTGAGATAATAGATACTACCAATGTCAGCTACAAAGCCAGCAGGACCGGATACGGAAAGTTGGACTATGTGACAGTTTGAGCTGGAATCGTTTACATATTCAGAACACAGTTCGAGGCATCATTAGAAATCGATCGGGCAGCCAAAACGCTGTATCGTACATGCAGCACAAATAAAGGAAATGCAGGTTAAAATCAACCATGCTATGAAGTATCCGTCAATGTCTTTTGAGCTCAGTAGGCGTTGACGTAACGAATGGAGTAGTTTTGCATCGATTCCTCGCGCCATGTTGCAAGCCATGATGTCACCTCTTCAACAAGAAATAGTGAAAATATCAACAGTAACTCTGATCCCTTGACCTCTGTACAGACTGCCTCTAATCAGTCTGTCCAATCTTTGTCTTATATCGATAGAGCACTCACCCTTGGGTGGGCTTGGCAACGGGCATTAATAGCAAGCCAATCGTATGGTACGAACCTTCACCGGCCCCGTTTTACTGCTGAAATTTCTCGGTGCGCTGGCCGCGACTGGTTTTGTAGTACACTCTACTCCCTAGTCGTTGACAATACAACTTGTAATAAGAATGATTAGAAACCTATTGATAGTACGATGTATCGAGCCCGGTCAAATGCGGCTGGTTTGACCTGAGTTAATTTTTACTCTATCTCTTGATACCAATAGTAATTACAATGAAGTGTACGCGTGTGCATGTAATACGATGGGGCAATCAAAGGAAAGATAGAAAAGACTTTGTATATACGCATGCATAGACACACAAGTAACAACTATAGACAAATGCTAATTCCTCGAAGAACAATGGCATTGAGGTTGATAGGTCTGTCGTTTGTATGCCTTCTTATTGGAGGAAATGTAACGAATAACCGCACATAAGGACAGGTTTACGCAGTCTTTGTGAACCTCTCTCAAACCTGTCGCATCAGTAGGAGATAGGTAAAAATGGCTACTAATCTTCGTAGCTAAAATAGGACGAAGGTGATGATGTGTACGCAAAAAAAAAGTTTGAGAATTTTGGCGACGCTAAACATGAGATAGCGCTCACTTCAGAGGGAATACAAAGCACATATATGTAAAAGACAACTTATTAAAATAAAAATTATTGATGCTAGTTCATATAACACAATCACTATTACTAAGTTTCACGACTAAGGAGGACGCATAGATTATCAAAAAGAACGAAGAATATCAAGTAAAAACGACACGCTGCTAAGCATAATTGACAGTGTAAACTCTATTTTGTCTAGTAGGCAGAGATGGTAGGCTTAAAGGAAAGATGGGACGATGCAAAAATGATTGATCGGGATTCGAACGAAGTCGTTCGAGTTCTTCCTGATGCCAGCGAAACGCTTCGCAAATGTTGTTTGTTCATTGAATAATAAGTTCATTATTGATGGTGTTTTTCTGCCCCGCTCAATTGAGATTAACTAGATCTACCCTTCTAACGTAACGAGGCATGATTATTATTATTATTTTTTTCACCATAACGAGCTGGTCGTTGAGGTAAATATTATAGCCAACAGACGCGAAATAATTAAATTGATCATAAAATTACTAATATTATTAAGATCAATTTCACAATCGAAGGCAACAATGAACGTGATTTTGTATACGTTTGAGATATAACAAGTAGAAAGGCAAGCACGTTAGAGATTTTTGTGGGATAAATATAGCCAGAATATATGGACGCAGTGTAGACGGATAGCAGATAAATCACTGTGACTGAAACAGTTGTCAGTACCAATGGGTCAAGTGCAGGGGCTACGACATAAGCCATAAAAATGCCTAAAAACTCAATAAGTAGCAGTTAACATATAGCTATAATAGGATATTCGTACGAGATTTATTTAAGAGGAAGAGGAGGAGGAGGACCGCCACCGAGCTGGTAAAAGGCAGCACGACGAAACATCATAACGTCGAAATGACGCCGATAGCGTCAATGAAGACAACGTTACGTGTATCACGCCGGTGGCGTGAGCACGTAAAAGCCCCTGTGCAATTTTGTATATAGATGAATAATACGAGTACTGGTAGACTAACTAATGAAGAAAAATGGAACGAAACAAAGAATAAATTTACTGATAGTACGACATTTTTCACAGACAGAGACAATTTTACAGATAGAAATCTTCACTTTACTTCGGACAGCCAATCCCAACCAGGTAGTAATTTCACCCTAATATACTCCCTAACAACGTGCATAGGACCGCCTGCGAAGCCGATCGCGATAGAAGTTAGAACGGACGCTCGTTCGACGAGGTGACGAGGTTCTGATAAAGCTTCATGTAGAAACGATTCTGTGAGGGAATCCTATACAGACAGGTAGCCATATATCCAGGAGAACGACGATATAATAGAATAGTTATTATGCGAAGCTTGATTATGAAGTGGTTCGCCTTTTTTTTTTCAAGCGGAGAAAAAAGTTCCTTCATTGAAATGGTCACAACGTTTCTGACGCGGCCTTTTTGTGCTATTTGCAGTTGCATCATATCTAGCTTATCTATTTTTAATGTACTGTTATCACGATGGCCGTGACTGTCATTGAGCGTCTTCATTGAATATTTGTAAGTGATTATCGGAAGCGACTGTTTTATCGTCGATGTCAAAAAACGAGTATTCATTTAGCAACAAACAAAAGTAAGTGAAGATGTTCTTCTTTGCGTTGAAGCGACTCAGTTCCGTTGCTGCGCCAGTGGGGGTAATGTGAATTGTTCCCGTTTTACTGAAGTTCTCTGACTTCAGGCCATTATCAAACCATAAGCATATATACTGGGAATAAATAGCGATTCAATGCATTACTGTAGCAGTGTATATCTATCGACATAATTACACGGTAAACTAACTGTACATTTGTGTGTTTCTGCATCGATTTTGATAAGTCAAATCTATCTAACAATAGATTAAGTAACAAATCGTTTCAAATAGACTAATGTTCTCATTTTGTTTGAAATTCTGTGTGTAAACTGGGTCGGCGTATATCGCCGTCGATATTAGTAATCTATTAGATATTTATCATCTAAGTATAGCGGTTTTGCGTCCTCTATCACTGTTTTTCTCAATCGTTCCTGCGTATAGGGTAGCGGAGATACATATGTTTTTTTTTCTACTTCAAGTAGAGAATATTTAATCGTAAACACGTAACACCGAACAGCTACGTCGAAATACTGTCGAGAAGCTCTCGTAATTTGTAGAAAGGACCTGGATAGGGCTAACCGAGGCTGGTAGAAGTAGGCGGTCCTATTTTCCTAGCATATGCCACAATTCGCCCATCCCTATTTGCTCTTGACGGAAAGCAAAGTGTGTTAGTTGTAGATGGCTCGGGAAAAGTGGACGAGATGCCAAATTGATGTAGCTTTCATCAGTTTTCCTTATTGCTAGTCTATTCCCGCCGGGACGGTGCCAGTATTTTCGCACCCGATAATATTGAATGCTTTCTAAGCAAATAGTGCTCGTGAATTGAATAGATAATGTTCAAAATACTACTACATTGGAAATAAATGGTCGTCCAATGGAAATTTTTTTTTTTTTGAGTATATATATCGAATGGGTTTACCTTGCATGCTTAGACTGCTGCTTCGTTTAAAAAAAAACCGCCGATTGTTATGCTCTAAAGTTGTTTGTCTCGTTTTTTTTTTTTGTTACATAACGAACGATTCTAAATAGTGCGGTCCAATCGGTTGGGACCTCCTGCTTCATCCAATCCAACTAATATTGACGTTGCTACATTTCCATCTGTCAATCGAAGTCTGCAGAATTGTTTATATCTGTCTAACATTTAATTGTGTGTCCTATAGACAAACTGGACAATGTACGAGTTTGAGAAATTAACATTAGTAAGCAACAAATGGTAACATTACGTGACAAGGACCATATATACGAAATAATCTCATTAATCACGACGGTACCAACTTCGATGATGCTGAATACAATGGAATGATCGATTCAAACGCGCTTAGGTCGGGCGAAGAAATCGAATTGAGAAACATAAGCAGACATAGAGGAAGGGAGAGAAAACTTAGAAAAAGACAAGAAGCATAATAACACAGGGGATGTAGACTGACGCAAAGCTAACAATGGATTTTGCGCTATCGTCCGTTGTTATCTTACGAAGATCAAAGCAAGGAAGAACTGAAAAAACGAAAGCAAGGACGAAAATTTAGTAGCGAATTTGTGAAGAATTTGTTAAATTTTTACCACAGTCATGATAACTATTATTAATAAATGTTCATTTTTCAATTATGACAAAAAACGTTTGCGTGTCTTCTTAATACGTAGCCGCACATGGGCATAAGGTGTTCGAGAGTGGACAGCAAGCTATTCGGGTAGTTGAATAGCCTCCTAGAGGGCTCACGACATCGAAGCGTACGTCAACTGTTCCGTCATTGTGTACTAAGGATTTGTTTATTTCAGCCAAGAAATTAGAATGACGGCATCACGTCTTATGTTCGGATAACCTAAAGCTCTAGAGTTCTAGCGTAATAACGCAAAAATGGTCGGGGCTGGCCGAGACGCCACAAATGATATCGCACGTCATCCAACAATTCCGGATGACTCATCAGAAGTTTACAACGTACAATACTGTATCTCTTCTAGTGAGTATCAATAGCTCTAAAAGGTAGCATTTCACTTCCCCGTCAATCAGATAAGTTAGCTGATAATTACTATAAAGCAAAATGTCTAAATATATAGCTTGGAAGTATCAAACATAACACAGTCACCAGCCTGATTCTCTCTAAATATTTATAGACGTAAATGTGTGGGCCGATAAGTGGGGCATCAGGACACTTACATGATCCTGTAAAATAAATGGCATTACTATTAAATAAGGATATTTATTTCCAATCTCTGTTTTATACGAATGGATAAGTCGGGATTTTTTATTCAACGGGCAGTCGTGGCTACAGTTAATTGTGCCAGCGCATCAAATCAATGATGTCTCTCTATTCGAATGAAATTTTAGGCTGTAATTTCGTCGTGAAGTCAATAAAACAAAGTGTAATTTCTTAAAATACCATATAATCTAAATTCTATATTTGCTCCTTGAAGACAAGTTAGATTATTGTTAGCAAAACGTAAAAAAAAAGTAGCCAATCGGCGAGTAAATGAATGAAAGCCGTAAATTGATTTAATACTCTGTTTTGGTTTATTGTAACATTGTAGTTATATAGCAGCATCGATATAAATAACAGCCAACAAATTCAATGCCGATCAATACGGGATCGTTTTCACTGACCAGTAAGCATTTATTTAGTAAGCACAACATAACATAACACAGTCGTCACTTCAAACACGCGGAAAACACGGAACAAGGTCTCACCCCTGATTCTTTCTCTAATAATCTAATTTTCTTCTCTAATATATTTACATTCCATTATCAACGTTTGTTCAACCCGTGCCCAAACAATCGCCTCCATCACTCTGGCATATACATACATACATACATACATATGCGCGCGCTACAGCTTTACGTAATGCTCGTCGTTTGACTCCATATAAAAATAAATATGATAAAAGATAGTAAAATAACGTCTAAAGACCTGATAAAGCGAACGTGACAGTGGGGTACTACGAACTGGAATAACAATAATAATAATAATAATAACAACAATCGTAATTTTAATTGAAGATACAGATAAACACACGGGACGACATTGGCATCATTGTCGCTTAGTCAACTTCGAGCTTAGACGACGGCTCTTTGTAAAATGAAATTCGATCGAAAACCCAGTGACTGTTGGTCTCCTACGATAGTCACCATTATCCTCGATTGATTCTACGTTACAGCTTTGGTGCCGCGGTCTGCTAGGTCCACCATATTTCGAATACATATCACGCGAAAAAATCATACAAATATTCTATGTAAGATTTTTTTTTGTTTCAGTCATTAAATGAGTCGATCATACGGAATGTGTAGCTCCTCGTAAACCGGACACAGTGTGTCTGGCTGGTCGTTCTCTATGACGTCACGGTGGTCGTTTTGGCCGTGCGCGATCTTCACGATCTGAATATATCGGCCAGTTATGCCGTTGCTCTGCGCAATTTCAATACAATTTGAACTAGTGCTATGATTACTTTGCATTTGTTGCGTCACAGTTTCTTTATTGGATAGAAGATTTGATGCACTAGTTTCACCTATACTGGCGTTGACTACTTCGTTTTCTTTTGACCCGCCAGCGTCAGAAAGGGTACGACGTAACAGGCTAGATTTTTCGGGAACCTTTGGTGCCTGAAAAACGCAACAATGAATACGATATTAGCGAACAAACGGGTGCTTCTCTAATTGAAAGCATATTTCGGTCCACCCGTACTAACGTACATTGAACGACTACAGGGGACTTTTATCGTCCCCACTGTGGCAATCTGCTAAAAACGTAAACTTCATAGCATATCCCTATTTTCGTTGATGTCTCACCTTTTTGGGGGTAATGTGTCGTCAAGTGTATAACGATGCATATCTACATACGGCAAGACTAAGCTACTTTGGGTTGCTATTTTTCCGTTACACTTTATTTGAGCAGCAGTCGTCGGTGCGTGCTCCGAAGTACTTACCCAATTCGGGCCTCTGGTGTAATTGCTTTTCACCCGACGAGGGGGTAGCCTTGACCCAGAGTCATTCGCATCTGACCTATTTGACAGGCTTGTCTTCTTGTTTTTGTTGTACCTCTTTCGCGGAACGGCGTAGAGGTCATCTAGAGAATCGCGCTCTTCAGCACCAGACCCCAAAGAGCCGGACGAACTCCTCTCTGAAGCTAAAGATTCTCCTTCTAAGGAGCCAACCGACTCCATCGAGTGTCGCGTGTCCGACGCGTTGTTGTTATTTTGTTTTTTTGGAGAAATATCTTTGGCTTCTTTAATAATGATATTACCTTGAACTGTAATCGACAGCTGACTGCGCCGCTTCTCTTCCTTTATCTCTTCTTCCTTAACGAGATCAAGCAGCTCCTGATAGACCTGGTAATTGTTTGCACATAAAAAATAAGCCTATGCTTTTCTCTTCATCATCCAGAGAACAGCTTACATTTTCAGATCGTCTAGCGGATGCCTACGTATAATATTTAATACTTAAAACAACGCTTAACGGTAGTATCGGATGCAAAACTACAAATACGTGCAATGTTCCGCACCAATCGTTGATGAAGCCTTTGATGAAAATCAGTAGCTTCATAAACGAAGTAAAAAAAACAAAGAACAATCTTGGTCCATCCGAAAGAAAATTTAGGACAGATCTATATATTAAAAAAGTAGAATCTAATTAGAGTAGAAGTATACCTAGAAACCTAAAGATATGCAGCTAGGCTACGGATGGTCATGGCCACCATAACAGATATCACAGGCTTGTCACTGTGAATAAACTGCCTGAAATCTATTGACCTCAGCTAACTCTATACAATACTAGGCTGGTCTTTCCTCCCTATATCGGCCGGGCCGACTTCTAACAGACGCACGAGGATTGAATGGGCCTTCGGCTGACGCTACATAAACATAAAACAATGGGACCAAAAGCAGATGAAATGCCGCATGCAGAGTCAATACACGATGTCTGATCCAACTTGACGTACGCCAGACACTTTGATCAAGTGATTCTATAAAATGGAGATAAAGGGAAAAAACGTCTGCCAGAACAAACCTGTTCCCCTGAGGCGTACGCTGAGGTAACGACATCGGGAAGGTCTTCTTCGCGCTGATCTTTGCCATTTCCATCCTTATGCTGACGAATTTCCTCATAGATGTCTTGGTATGAGTAATCCTCTCGTTGGTATAGTTCGTCTTCCCCCACTGCGACAATTACGTCGATGATCTCCTGGCTTTTGCGTGGCCGGAATTTTGTAGTTTTCTCAGAACCAAAAGGCTCTGAATACGGAGGTTCTTCAGGCAACTGATATGCGTCGACAGGCCCCGTGTAACTTGGGATCTAGAAAATAGGTCAGGTTCATGTTGATATTATATTGGTCATTTTGATGTTCTCCTATATAAGGAGAATCACTAATCCTAACATACCAGTACATAACAGTAACGTAGAAAAGAGTTGATCCTAATTTTTTAGGTAATTATGATCGATTTAGATCAAAGTTTTAAACCTCCGGTCGGCATATCTTGTAGTATAAATTCTTATCTATATCCATCGTATCAGTATTACGTATTTAATATTAACAAACTACAAGAAGGGATTAAATTAGACAGTCCGTCTACAGAAACAAAAGATAACCACAGTACCCTAGAGCTTCTCGAATATTGTTGTCAATAAAGGTCAATTAAGCGTTCATTACCTCAATAACAGTTACGCCATCGGCCGAACTGGTGTTAATGTGCTGTCCCAGCGAACGCTGTGGAGGTATCTTTGGTGCACTAACGGCATTGGCCGACGGCAGTGAGAGTGGTGGTACAGGTGATTCCGGTATTGAGGCTAGTCCTGCGATACTTGCAGGCCGAGCTGGTAACGCTGGTGGCGTGGAAGGCAGTGATGAAACGACTGATACTGGCCTGAAGATGATACGAATTCTAAGTTTAGCTTCGAACGCTACGAACTAAAGCAATTTAGCGAATTTGCATGTAGATAAAATCCGTGCCGCGATTTATCGAGGATCAACAGATCAATACTCAGTTCTCGACGTTAACTGACCATCACATTTTATATTTGTATGCACGTATTCATAGAAGCTTGCTAACACTAAGCTTACGACGAGTTAAAAATCTACCAGGGTTCTCATTTATTTTCATGTTCGAAACGCAAACGCACGCTGATGCATACAAGTGTAAAATGAACATACAGCCTTAGCTGTTTATTAGCCATTCGCGTAGTTGACACCTCTTACAGCCTCTGTCACGACATCGAATTTGATGCTGTACTTCAAGTTCATCCTGTACATCTGGTATTAGCGACTTCAAAAGAAGCTGGTAAAAGCCAATGCCGAGTACGCGCATTGATCGTTTAGTATCACCGAATGGTAAAATGAAACCTTCTTTCGATTGCCTAAAAAACAAAAGGCTTTCTTTTTTCCAGCCTCAATGCCTGTCCGTCCTGAGTGAAAAAACCTTACAGTCTTATATTATATACAGCCCAATAACGTTTGAAAGGGCCGGCTCATTCTCAAGTTTAAAAGAGCAAGTGTCCTTTCTCCAGTTCTACAAGCTGTAAGGTCAAACAAATGTTATGAAGACCGTAAGACGAATACATGTTTTTGCTGAGTATTTAGCGATATCATATTTATGTATTATGCCTGGACGACTAGTTCCACAGATATAAAAAGCAGTTACCAAAATAGCCCAAGTTCTACCATTATGACTTAATCGATTCTCGCTTCTGTCCCTCAAACTAAAAAAATGATATGTTTTTTTTGCAAAAGACAAGCAGCTTATTTAAAAAAAAAAAAAAAAAAAAAAAGTGTGGGGTTATGGAACAATACTCAACCTATTTTTCCTAATGTGTTCACGATGGTGCGGTGGGTAACGTGTTTGCATCTTAAGGCTAGCCGTACGAAGTAACGCTTAAGTGCTTAAGTTCCGGACACTTCGCCCGAAAAACGATTGTTGGGTTTCAACAATCAAATACACTTCTCTCATTAACAAAATTATATTTTCAATAGAAATTCACTGTTGAGATAAAAAATTTCAACCCAGCAAGTATTTGAACCAGGACATTTCAAAACTTAACGGTACCATTACCATTATAAAGCAAGTTGACGTCAAATTAGACTTTACACGCGAAAAGTTATTTTTTCTTACGTTTTTCAAAAAGGAAGTCCGAAACGAAATTAATGAACATGTTGATATATCGCAAACGGAAAACACATTCCCGTTTCTAGTGTGTTCGCCTATCCTTGACTGGTCCTTTACGTATTCAACGTAATATAGAGGGTTTTTTTAGCGGGGGCGAGGAGAATACCCCTCCCCCAATCAAAGGACTTAACAAGGATAAAGCTGATCTAGCTTGTGACAAGCCATCATGTTTTCACTTGTTTCAGCCTATATCGTCGTCAACAAATGGCAAAGCCTAGCTGACAATTGTCGGCAATGCTAATAAACCTCACCCTTGCGTCCCCGTTGTCTAAGTACATAGCTTACAATACGTAAGTGCTTATTGCATTGTGCGTGCGCCATTGAAACGTGAACTGAACAGGCAAATCATCATAAGTAGCAATAAGTAAATTGTCAAAAGGTCAAACAACGACAAAAAAATTGAATGTAGTGAATGAGTAAATGAGCTGCTGCATAACCTAAAGTTATGTTGCTATAACAGAGGCGACGGCGGTGTCGAAGCCGGCGATATCAACTATGGATAGCCCTCAGGGCAGATGACGAGACAGCAAAAGACATCAACTAAAAAGTAAGCAATCGGGTATATGCGTGTGAGTCCACGTAAAGAAAATTAAATATAGCACGCTAACGAAAACAGTTGCGATTATGATCAAGTTTACCACTATTATTTACGTAATCACGTTTAGCAGGAACAATATACCCAATTACATAAAGACCTGATCGGGTCACTTGAAGCCTGTGCTAAGTCAGGGTGTCAGGGCATTTTGAAACAAATGTCGCGGTTCGCGCGCATCTGTCTACTTGAGCGTAATGCCGATTTGTGGATCAATATGCTGTCTACGTATGTACGTGGTATTACGTACGATTTTGTTCAAATAACGATGATTTATCTCTATGTGTATTAGAAAGATTCAATTTAATACACGTATTGCGAACTAAAACTTATTCAGGTAGCCATTATCCATTGAACGATCTACTCAGTCGATTGAAAAAGGGTCACCGTTAAAATATACATATATAGTAGTAGTACACCCTATCTATTTAGGTGAAAGAAAAACAAAAAAAAATACGCAAGGATATTAAAAAGGCTGCTCGTTTCTTTTACCTGAAAAGTGAACCGTGCTGACTACTGTGAGCGCTGCTCATACTCAATCGGGGCTGCAGTGTTCCCAGCGGTGGTAAATCATCCTTGCGAATCGTGCAGGACAAAATCGAGGTAGTGGAACTTGAACGGGTCAGAGGCCTAAGCGTTCCTCCCCTATCTTTTGCTGATGGCACGATCGTAATATCATGCGATCGGCGGTGCCTAGTTAAGGTTCATGAAATTAACCAATCATAAACAAAACAGAGAGAATAGACGGTTACTTTCTAACAAAACGAGCCCAGCTTGCAGACAGACTTTAATATGAGCGAGTCCCTTGAACAACTAGCACTATTTCCAAAGGAAGAACGTGTCCACTTTCAGCTGGAGGACTTTCAATCGCATCTCGATTTAACGGCACGTGTTGAACGTGAAGCTTTCGGACTCTCCCAAACATACTGTAATTTTTTTGTATACAGATCTCAAGTATATCTTTTATAGTGCACTTTGAAGCCACTGAAGTATCTAGGGTTAGTAGTAATTAAAGCAGATTAAAGCAGACTCTTGGCTTTTTCATAATCGACGGCGATACCGTAGTCACTACTACCTATTATAACGAGAACTAAAACGCCTGTACAACGTCGTTCCACATACTACCCGCAGTTTCGTTCGGAAACAATCCGTCAACGCCGTAAATGGCCGTCTCACAGTCGGAGATCTTCGGGAAGCATATTCGAGGTCTTCAGTGCTGTGCACCTACCTAATTTTTAGTTGTCTAATTTTATAAGAACCAATGTGTAGATAAGAACTTCCTACTTGTGCGACACATGCACGGCTCTCCGGCGGCCATCTTATGAGTTGCATCCCCCAGCAACTTTATTATTTTGTTTTTTTGTATTGCTATTATAATATGTCAGTTGACTGGTTGGAACGACTAATCGGGCAGTTTGTGCACGCTAAGCTCGTCGAGGATCAGGGATCTGCCGGACCTAATATTGCATTTCTAATTCGGAGACCTTACCTTGTTGGCTATCCAGTAACGTGGGAACTGGTCAATCCTGTTTGCGAATATACACGCATGGTTCAGATCTCTAAAAAAATTGGCCATGACAAATTGGTAGTACTAGTATGCTATGTGCACTCGTATAGATTTTTTTTCCCGTCTCAATTTTGCATTAATATTAAACTATTCGAAATTGGAATGATGGCTTAAGACATCATTTCATTGGGGTTCCAGACTGTGTGTATCAGAAAAATTGCGCCACTAGATATAGAACAAGGTAACGTTTGACCAGATGTACATTGTTTGAATGTAGTGTATGGTTTTATCATGTGTCCAACTTATTTTTAATCGGTAAACAAGGGCGAAGCATACACCACTCATGATTCGGATATCGTACGTATATTTTGTTCTTTATATATTTTTATGTAAATTTCAGCCGATTTATCTCGTGCTCATAACTAAGCGAACAAATAGCCATTTTATCAATGAGAACGCCATCAAATTTTTTTATAATAAAAAAGTTTTTTTTGTTGCTTCTGCCTGTTGTGCTGAGAAATGTTTTTCCAAAAATGATCAAATAATTTCCCTTTGCTTTGTTTAAGCTAAATACCTGCCACGATATGACAAAACAGAATGTCTCTTCCAAGGACCATTTGCCAGCGTAAAAAAACCTGGCTCACATTTTGACGGCATAATCATACGTTAAGCACGTTTTTTCAACTGCGTTGTGTCTCTGCCGAATCGACTACAGGATGATTCACCTAGAAATGATATTGATCGTATTAACTGTTTTATTTGAGGTATTCCATGTAAGCTTCAAACCAGATCGATGGGTCCGCTCCCCAGGTCGTTCCGGCCAACGGGAACGACATCAAGACAGTGCTTTCCCGTTACCGGCGCTGTTACTCTTTAAGCTAAAGACAACAAATATAAGAAATGGTTCTCACATCCCGTGCTAGCGTTAAGCGTAGACAACACAGCTTCGATATATTTATAGTCATCAGTAAATGAAGACGGTGATCGTACCTGCACATCTGTATGTCGGTCAATAGATAACGCAACCGATCTAGAAAGCCGCAAAGTACACTCGAACATACGACAGGCACTGAAGTACCACCAGAAATATTTTTCATTCCGTACGTGTATCCTTATAGAAACGATTAACTTAAATGGCCTCTAGTTTTTATGATACTAGATTTATTATTATTTGCCCTGATATACTCAGCCATCGGAGGGCGGAAACGATATCTATTTGTATTGTGTATTTAAAGTAACAATACTTCGCCTCGAATCGTTACTGCCATTGGCATGGGGAAGCAGCAGCGAGTAAAGGGCCGACTTTGCCAAGATACCACAACATAGAATGACAATCATGAACGATGGTGTCACCCCTGTCGACGACCTTGTCAAGGGAGTGGCATAGCCAAAAAATAGCGCTCTTTCAGGACCAGCATTGGGCAAAAACCGACATCACTTCGCTCGCTGGGCTGCTATGGGCAAAATTAACGTTATGAAAAGTATTTATTTACATAAACGGTAATAACAGGCTACCTACTGTATGAAGCGACTAGCCAGATAGGTTGGTCCGCTACCTGAAAACGGTCGGGACCGATTCGGTGTTTGCACCTTTTTCGGTTTTGCTGGCCAAAATGTCGAATAACCGAAATAACAGAAACTCGTGTCACACTGCATCACACAGAGCTACATAATGCTATTGAGCTTAACTATGGCTTAAAAACGACTAGTCGGTGAGATAATCGAATCGACGTTACGTTAACGTTCACTGGCTTCGGATCAAAAATGAGTATCCGATTAGAGATAAAGGTGGCGCCTGATCGATGAATGCGAATGGGCGTCATCGTTGTGATATCATCCGAACGGCTCCGAACGAGATGCATTTTCATCCTTAGATGAGTCAAATTTGGGTGGACGCTATAATTATTAATGGGTAAGGCTTGGCTGTATATGGTTAATGTGAGATAATTTAACAGAAGAATAAAGGGCTGTCTATGGGAACTATGACAACGAGATCAGCAGATCGATCCCAGGTCGCCGGAACGTGTTCTCTGCTCGCAGCCACACGAATTGCTGCTTGGCTCGAATTGGTATCGTCTCTTTGGTAGAACCGAACGCACAAAGGTCAAATTTTCCCTGCGATAATTTTGATCAAAGAGTCATTTCTGATTAGGCCATTCTTATACTTATCCAGATACATCCGATCGTTTGTATGCGGATAGAAGTAAGTGGAGGATGGCAGCCAAAGCAAAGCAGCTCTACCGCAACATGATTATATAAAATATTCTCAAAGATGAAATCGGCCCTTGTGAGAACGCAGTTCAAGTTCAGACGAACTACAAGCGCTCGAAGGATCAGCCAATGAAAATCTGGTCAGAAATGACAAGACTGTCGAATCAGATACCACTTACCCACTTCAGATACGTATATGGGAATAAGGCAGTGAAAAGATATGACTAGTGGACCACAAAAGATCATCATCTTTTATTGACATACAAAATGTCGAGTAAATGTACACACAGTTGCTCGTATCCGCCGGGCTGAACTTTACTACTACTACTACAAAAAAAAAAGCCTAAATTATTCCAGGCAGGACAAGCAGATGATAATAGGAGTAAAGAAAACAATTATTTAGTCTTTGGCGTTTTAATTGTGTCCAGTTATTGTGGTCATTATAGTGATACTGAAATGGTCATTATCAGTAAACGAAATATGTCGCATTGCGGCTCATCATCTCTCCGTATATTATACATTACAACCACAACAATTACCGGAAAAATCGAGCCAGCTTCCTTACGTAATAGATCTCTTACCAGATCAGTCCTCGCTTCACAGTATATAGTCAACACTCAGACGCTTGTTGGTACTATCTTAATGATATGCCTAAGTGGTCATATATACTGATTGTACAACGGTCATATAACTCCGTCGCGAGCGTTGGTAAGCTGCTGTTTGTCTGCGCGTTACGATATCATCGCTCGCATATATTACAGGTACCGTTCACCCGAAAACACCAAACGTTACGTAAAATGGACCGATCAACGCTCAAATGAAATTCACCGTAAGGAGCACCGTAAGCAATGATAATGCACGCATTGACACCGGGCCAAGTAAAAATAGGGCGTGATTTGACATTACGTTACGCCTGTCATTGCTATTGCTGATCCCAAGCTGTTTCTCAGCGCCGACTTATGGTGTCATCGCTTTACCCCATAGCGGAACAACTAAGTTATATTTTATAGCGTATTTAGACATGTATTTCATTTGTTGTATTGACGACTTGAACAAAGTTACGCGCATTGTGTGAACGTGCGTAAGAATAATCAGGCCCGTCTGGGTGCGCCTTCTAACGGGTGATGTATATTAAATTTGTATCGCAACGACCTGGCTGATATTGCGGACGAAGTAAGGACGAGCCGTCAAAATGTGAATGTTTTCATTGTTGATAACAGATAATTTTTGCTCTTCCATGTAAGATAATTAGTATTTTTTTTTAATAACTTACTGTAATATTTTATCATGCTCATGCACGTGTTGCGTCTCCTGGTACCCGTGAAGAGACGGTAGTAGAAAAGTCGTTTAGAATCTCGAATTTGTTATGCTCACGTTTTACTACTAGCTATGTTTCCTGGCGGCCAAGCGTCATATGTGTCCGTATAGGTAGCGCTATAGTGAACAAAAAAAAGGCGTTATATAACACTTCCTGAGTAAATTTAATAAGAATCGGGTTTGAGTGTTAATTACTTACCGTAAAAGACAGCTACGAAAGACATCGAGAACACAGAACATCTTGCCGTCGTTCAACGAAACGTCGAGCGAGCATCGATCAAGTGACAACGGTTACTGTTCGTATTTCGTGCTTCTTTAATTTCCGCTAGCTCTAAATTACGGAATCCGTTTTCCGACAAGAAGCGAATTCGGTCGGCTCAGAATTGACCCGTCTGTGGGTCGGTCAGCCGTTAGATCCTGAAGAATCAGATACAAAAACAACCCATTTACTTAGTTTTTTGTTACTTGCAGGGCCTCACTCAAAGATTGGCAGCTAAAATATTACCTCGTTGTTATTTTCGACACCGACTCATCGTGAGGGATGCAGTTATATCCGGTTGCCCACCCCATACTGAAGCTATACTAATGAGGTTAATCTTGCGTGACAGCTCTACACATATATGTAACGCGCGTACTGTCATTATAGATGAATCTGTCCCCGTCCAACGATTGTGCGCAGATATGATCCAGTCGAATATATGATTTGTAAAGTTTAACGTAAATTTTCGTACCAACAAGAAGCAGGGCCTCCTATACAAAAGGGCAAATCAGATATATTAATTTCTAGTCAGGGTCATAGTTCGTAAGGTAATAGTTAGGGTCAACTGATGGGCTCACTCGTCGGTGACTTATACCGAAAAAAAAATACGCTTGAGTTCAACTAGGCGCTTTGAATCAACAATCAGAAGAGCTGGTTTCGGAAGTAGTTTAGTAAAACTGTAGTATTAGCACTGGCAGTAACAGCGTGACAGTGATTAACAAAGAATCCAGAATAGGTAGAAAAAGTCTTCTTAGAGTACTATAAATTTAAATGAGCTCCTATCCAGCCGTCGGTTAAAGGAAAAAAGTACCCCATAGAAATCCCGATTGCAGACCTACAGGCGTGACAGCGTTATGGCCAATAAGCCTTATTAAAGTGCGTTGTCGTGTTGAGCATAATTACTTACGCACACTTCGACGCTAGTTCAAATGTAACAATTAAGGAAATAATAGGTAAACGAAAATAAAGAGTCATTCCTAATATTACTCACTGCTTGTGTGGTTCCCATGCTATTTTATAGGTCCATAGAAGAAACCCCAGATAAGCCAGCGAATCTATGAGGCTATACCTAAAAAAGGACCTACCCAACAAAAAAAGAAGCCGCGAAAGCGATAATAAAAGAATTGATATGATAGAGTTCGAAGTGCAAGGTACAAAGGACCTGTTACAGCAGGGCAGTCGACGCCTTTCCTTGAGAGTTACATGATTTTTGTCCGAATAGTTGAGTCAATGTTTATAAACCTAGATTTCGATTTGTATTTATCTAATAAAATTGGCTACATCTCTATGGCTAGCACGAATATACACGGTTGAGAATTTTTATTAATTATCCGATAAATATGTATTAACCCTGTAGCGCCGTCAGTGAATCTCTTAAAAGTCAAATTCGGTTAACACAATTAATTGGGTCAGCGACGTACGACGCAGTCGATCTCTATGTTATCTTGCAATAACGAAAAGGCCACCAAACAAACAAAAGACCGACCTATCAACAGTTAGCAATAATCTCACTATTATCGAAAATTATATTTTGGCGGTCGGTAAAATTTGCTTCCCGAGAAAAAAATTCAACCCAAGTTCGCTCATTGAAACCGTTGTTGTGCGTGCCAATGTATTTGGTGCGCCATCCGATGCCCCATTCACCTTCACACCATTAGTACAACTTTATTAAGTTGTGATTATTATCAGTTATTATAGGATTGTTGTCGGTACTGTATCTAGATTTTATCGATACTGTTACTTGAATACTAGATCTAAGCGAGTCATTATACATAATAAATTTCGAGTTCCTCGAATTTGAAGTTCGAAGAACTTGTGTATCTTGGCCATTTTCGACTACTGTGTTATTGAGACATATTTTTTCCCGTTCCAATAGCTACCCCAATTTCGGTAAAGTAATACCAGTTATAAGTTACGCTCAGCGCTGCCAAAATGGCCTTTTGCGTGCAGTACAAGATCTGCCCTGGACCTCGAGACAATTCGAATATATATATTTATACACGTTCGGTAAAGACGAGTGGGCAGATTGTGTGCTTTCTTGGAGACCGAGCCTCGTGACGTTTGCAAATCCTGGGTACACAGCAAATGCGGTTTCCTAACCAGGAGCAACAACGTTTTCTGTACTCTACTTGGCTATCATGGAGCTTTGGTTAAGCGGATAACATGGAAGTCCCAGGAAAAGCTCTCTTTGCATACTTTCAGTTTTAAATTGATTGGCTAGGTTTTCGATTAGCGCACACAGATCGTTCAGTGGGTTTATTACGCAAGAGCATTGTGATCCGTGTCGTTCGCTCCACGGCTCCTCTGCTAACAAGATTGGCAGACAAAAGGAAAACTACTTTTACAAACACTACGATATCAATTTTCGACATTTATAAACACAAAATTATAGAACTAACAAACGATACATATGCGCTAACAAAGGTACCTGGAAATAACAAATTGCCATTTGACAAACATGAACCTGAGACTGCTTTGCAACGGGTTAGTCTGAGGACCATAGCAAATCACATCGTGAAGAGTCGCTAGGAACAAACAGTTCCGCTTGTTCGGTTAGGTAGTAAAAAAGAAGTTGATTCGAAATACTTCAGCGAATCATACTAGACATAATGTATAGATCGATGGATTGCTCGAGATACAGACAGCTCAAATTCGGAATAGGCTACCTTTTAACAATGTGTGTGTGTTAATACCCATTATGAACAGTATTTTACTCATCTTGTAAACACCCGTTGACAATACAGGTTACATTACGTCTATTGTATATTCTCTGGCTAGATTGATTTCGGTTACAATTGGGCTTAAAGATTCTCTCTTCTTTACAGCCGGGACAAGACAAGTATGTGGCATTACGGCACGATCACCTGTGACGGCCAATTACGATAACGTGCTCCGTGCCAATGACGAAAGGTAGAGGCCAGACTCAATCTGGATATCCTCATTGAAACAAAGTTTTCAGTTTCGAACGTCAGCCTACTCTACTATCATGCTAGGCGATTGTTTCGGCGATGAGTTATTGAAAATGAGGGAGAACAGTTATTGAAATCACATGCTTGTATGAACGAGTCGCACAATAATCAGCACAAAGTTGGCCTTGGTAGCCAGCTCTAGTACTAATGAATTTTTGTTTGACTCGTACACGTGCATAGAATCTTTTTGTAGATTTCTACACTATAGTGACACGGCTCCTAAAACGATAAATGGGAGTTTTCGATTCAAGCCAACGACGACCTCTTTTGCGTAGAGTTCGATGTCAGATAGCACTTCGTCAGGAGAACCAATCCGTTTCTACAAAGGACTAGCTTTCCCTGGTTCCGTACAACTTCGATAAGCATTCAACACTAGCTTCCATCACTTCTTCTGTAGTAAGCATAAGAACTATATATCGTCAGATATCGAATAGTTACCTTAAATAATGTGTGTGTTTAGCTGGGACAGTATTTAATTGTTACCATAATGAAAACTAACTGTATACTGATTAATAGCATCACTGAATTGCTGAGTACATCGAGACGTTATAGGCCAATACCTGCAGCTGCGGTTCAACTGTATGACAGCGGCGGGCGTTGTGTCCCTAGATGGCGTCACCTCCTCGACGAATAAGGAACGATGCTGCCGTTACGGTTGCTCCGTTTCCAGGCATTGATTAGGAACATGTGGATTGCTCTTCAGCTTACTGCGGGCCTTCGATTAGTACCAAGATCAACTTGCCCCATTTACACGGGCTTCTTTTTCTAAAGAAAGATAGCATTCTACGAAAAGAGCAGATTTCGCATAATTCACACCGCCAAAACGTACCTCACCGTCAAACGGACTCCCTTATCGAACGGACATCGACAGCGCTAATAAATGTAGTTAGTAGATTTACCGAAAAAGAAAGACTTTTTCTGCCTTTAAACTGAGCACAATTTAAAGCCAAGTAAGAAGTGTTTATCTTATTTAAGACCTGTTCATTCAGCTATTTTTCTTCGAATACGTTAAATAGAACGGCCCTACAGGCTTGAACTAGCCTTGTAGCTTAGTTACTGCGTAAACAGCATTATCCTGTTCGATTATCCATTTATCCAGGTAACTCGGAGAACTATGCCGTGCAACGCGCGCATATGCGAGTGAATCATGCCGTCCATGATATTGTCCTTCAACGGCGTGGCCTGCTACAGTATTGTCTCCTTTTCTCGTATCTACAGTGAACGATCTGCCGCAACGGGCAGTTGAAGGGACCACATCGCAGGGAAACGTTGCATGAACAGCAACAGGTAGGAACCATGATGGTCAGATAATGACTATAGTTAGCGAATGTCGTAAAACACAAACCGAGCATCCAGGAAACGCTCAGTCCCGGAAGAACAATGGTCTCGAAATCAATAATGGCTTATAAAGTTTAATAAACTACAGCAAAGACGGCCCCGACGGTACGTATATGGACTATATAATATAATATTGAGAGTGTGCATATTATATCCTGTTTTATTATTAAAAAAAATGAGCACATTATCCGAATTCAGAGAGCAGTCGAATCTAACATTTTTTTTTACTCCGCTCGACGTGCGCTATTAGGGAAGTGAGTGATGACAATTTTATGACGAATCATGCTGCTCATGATGGTGCTAGTTAATGATAACCGTGACTTTTACTGCATAGGAAACCATTTTTGCTGCTGTTGCTGTCGTCATCTATTGCCGATATTTAAGTCACGGCATTTGCGCCGTATACCTACGTGTGTACATATTATCACTGTTGTGACAGAAATGCTTAGCGGACCAGGGAGTAGGAGGAGCAGGAGAAGGAGGAGGAGGAGGAGGAGGAGGAGGAGGAGGGTGAAAAGGGGGAGGCGGAGGAGGAGGAGGAGGAGGGTGAAAAGGGGGAGGGGGAGGAGAAAGAAAGCCTATCACTCCGTTGAAAGGTCTAATGGCTTTACACCTGTGGCAACCAGGAACTGCGCAACTTTTGAAAACCTGCCAAAAGAAAGGCGGCAAAACGAGATAGTTCAAGTAAAAGCTCAAGTAAAAAATAGATGCTCTGCTCGAATAGCGTTGAGCGTCGCGTCTACGGCAATGTTATTGATCGTGCCATTGGCGGAAATGAGAAGTGACCGTTAAGAAAGCTGCATTGAAACGTGGTACCGCGCAGAGCGCTAGAAAAGCGGCTACAATGACCCCGGCGCCGCCAACGACTGAGCGCTCGTCGACAGAATCAGTCTTGATCGCTGGCGAACTATGCGGATGTGAAGACACAGGCAGCCCAGCAGTTGAAACTGATTTATTGATTGCTATAGCATCACGATAGCTATAGATATTTATATTATAGATATATAGACGTGCCATATCCTAGCGCATATTCCTGCGGCCGCAGCCTAGTTTCCTTTAGTCATATCGCTCAAAACTAGTAGAGGCAGGAGGACCAATAATGCATAAAGAAGAAGCTCACTCGAACAGTGTTGACGTTAGCCCCTAACTACGGGGTAATCTACTTATTGCTTGCCGTGTAAATAGATGCCACGTAGTAGATAACGCTAAAGAAGATAAGACATTCATTAATCATTCGTCTGGCAGGCCATTGTATGACAAAAACGTTAAGTGAAGAAACAACGCGCTGTAACAGCGATCATTGTACGACAATAGTGTGGAATTCAAAATGAAGTTGCGCTCAGAATAGTGTTACCTCGATGAACGATACAATGAAACTGATTATTCAACGATGTGAAGTAGGACGTCGAGTTGGAAGGCCGACGTCATTTTTGATTTATTTCAGTAATTGCAAATTATTCAGCAACGCTATGGGAAGAACGCTGTTAACATTTCGCGTCTATCTTGTGGTCATTTCTGCGCCATCGATGATACGTCCTGCGCACTTCCTTTTTTCTTCGGAGCGTTCGATGCAGACACCCGTCGTCGCTTAAACGCTGATCTACGATATTTTAACATCGGGAGTATGTCCGGTAGTTTAACTGTTTGATTGAGAATACCGTTGTTGATACTGTGTTTCTATTTCCCTCGTACTGCGAAGCTCATCTGTATGAGCTCAATGAATGGTTTCGTAGGTGGGAGGTTGTCTCGTTTAGCAATGCCGTCTACATTTGGCAGATCATTGTCATAACCTTGATGTTTATTGCTCCTGTTACTATTATTGCTATGACGAAGTGGAATTTTCAAGGTACGGCCTAGCTTTTCCGGCAGCGGATAACTAACCTCTAACAGCCACGACAAATTTTCGCGACGTCGTTCCCTCTGTAGCTAGACTAATAGGCCTCTCTCATTAGCTGCTATGTATCTTACGTTACCGAATAGCGCCAATAGTTTCATGGGTTTTTCGAACACCTACAAGTGAGTTTCGTATACGAAAGGCATCTTCTACTAACCCTGATTCAACTGGCTATAGTTTCCTCTGAGAAGTTTTACTATCCCTTTCTATATATAAGGATTTCGGTGTTTTTCTGTACCAGTGTAGTCTATCGCCAGCGTACTTCCCTTCGCCGTAAGCTGCGGCTCTCCCAGTTAATGAAGCAATGATTTATAATACTATCGAATGTCTGCGGGCCGAACATGATGATATCCGTCGACATAAACAAATGGCGACCAACGGCGCCGTATACGAAAGACGTCATACGTGTAGTATGTACCATAATGCAACTAGGTGGAAGAAAAAACAACTCATAAATATTAAACATTAAACAGGATCGTTCGGGTAAGTGAGTTAAACGGATACGTGAGATCGAAACGAAAGCGTCCTGACATGCGTAAATCGGCATAGACATGGTGTTGTTTACTCTACCAATTTTTATCAGGTTCTTATCACTTTTTGACTAGATGCAGCCCAACACAGAGCTGGTCATCGTAATAGAAGTAAAACTGTAATCGTCAAAGAGGTTTAGGTCAAACGCTAATTTGACAATGTATAATGTGAGGATAATATTACGGTGTAGATCATGTTCGAACGGGTTGGATACAGATTCAAAATGATGATTTTTACCTTTCAGGTTCACCTGAGGTAATAATATGGTTTAATTACGAAATACGAAGCTTCCTTCGAAAAAACTTAGCTTTTCGAAAGTTTTTCGAAGGAAGCTACTATCATACAGACGTCAATAGACATGAAACATTACTCAACCAGAGTACACTGCAGTTTTACCGTCGCCAATATACGCGTTCGTACCGTTATACAATTGTACACGCTTCTTATCTTGCCCATTCTTGTCTATTAAACGTTCTCCTAGAAGACCAAAGCGTGAGAGAGCTGACATATAAATGGCCAAAAAGACAGGGAGAGTTACTATATGGCGCGCGTGGCAGCGGCAGGACATAGGACGTATGGCATCTGCATTCGAAAGTTGCTATTTGAATAGCTAAAAAGGACCTGCCGCAATGATTCTGTTGTTGATAGTATAGTAGTAATAATCGCATTTATATACTAAGCGCCTTCACGTGACCACTTCTTGTCAATGGGTCGATGTACAACGATCGGTGGTTTCTCCACTAGACGCTAGCTATCACCGTCGCCGCTATCCATAACTCGAGTTGTTTTAGGCAGCCTCTATCGCCTACCTGTACCCGCTGCGTCGATAAGCCATTCGCTGTTGACTCTATAGCACCCCTCTTCCCTTTAGCCATATACGATTTATATTTTATTTACAAACTATATTTTCTCTGAAATGATCTCCCTTTTTGCATGTTTGGGTAATTCTCAGCATCGCTGGGCTACAGATGATCGACCAGTATAGTTGTGGTTAGGACTTAGATGATTACTGAGTGATAACGGTTTACGGCAGTGGTTCTCGAGAAACGAACGAATCAATTTGCGAATTCGACTATGCTTCCGTGGTCTCCCTCTACTTAATAACATTACATAATATATAATTAATATAATAATAGTCGATATTAAATATAATATCAATATATATATATATATATATAAATATAGATATATAAATATATAATGGCAAAACGGTACAGTGTACGGTATTTAGAGTCGCGCGTACCAACGTGATATGAGCGTAACCGGCCATCAGAGTAATAGCAGCTACACTCGGCCTTAGCGTAGTTAGTTCTCTCGATAGCAGATAAATAGTACTGCGAGTACGCAGTACCTACGATACAGGTGTAGTCGAGTAACTTTTTCACTGGCCTCTCCCGCCGATGTCTATCTACAGATAGCTCGTACTGTTATCACTATTATAATCATAGCCTCTAGTCTCTAGTCTCTAGTGCAGACCGTCAGGTCGAAGATGCGTAAATCTATCTCCTGATGCTGACGGGTTTCGCTATGCCGCAATTTTAAATAATCCATAACGTCTCTATTGTTCAGTTCTGCTTGATACAGCTACACCACTTACTAAAACCATTCACTGGACCCATCCGACATAGCCTAATGGAAACGTGGCTAACGGAGTAGCACAGCCTTTGGCGGTCGTCGTAATAATGGTAATATAAATGCCCTCGACAGACGTGCCGGATCAGCAACAGTGGCTCGACATGAGGAACATAGTTGGTGTCACCGTTGCTAATTATCCGCCGCTCCTGCTGTCCTCCCTCACTTAATGAAACAACAGTCTTTTTGATGAGGACCAGATGCGGTAGCAACAACAACGAACGTATATGACTCACACGGTGACGAGCAGCTGCGGTGAAACGTTAGGGGCGGTGATATCTGCGGCGTCGACTGCCGGCGATGATCCGAGCGATAGATCCTCTCGCGCCAGGTCAGGGTCACTAAAGCGCTGCTGGTGTTACAAAGACGCTTACAAAAGCCAAAACATCCACACTCCGCGCCATTACTATCGCCATTGCATTGATCATCGCCGAGAGTGGGGTTGGGTTGGCTGTCTGTGCGCATTCGTTTTGGCTTTCGATTACTACAGATCGTACGAGCGGCCGCTGATAATGCCGCAGATGACACTGGCGCTATTCAGCGCATAGGGAACACTGTTTATATGCTATTTTAGCTCGTCGTTATATCGCCATTGCGGGCGTCGCGGTTTGAACACACATACACGCGCTGCATTGACTGACAGAATTAGATTTGTTAGGCAAAGGACTTTGAGCTTCGCGAAATGAGCGCAGCTTTCCAATTTGGCAGGAGACATAACAACTGTATTTAGCTACGTAACTGGCAATTGGAATAATATATCAGACAGTGAATATGTCACTCTGCCTGTTTAAACCGTTATTAGTACGGCTTTATTCGTCACACTGGTTTCCCGAGGCCGCGGTCATCCGTCATCTGTCCGTTTGATGACTCGGCGTATCTTTAACAACAGCTATAGGCCATCCATATTTCAATTGTAGTCTAAGACAGACTATTTATGCACGACGGGGTCACGTTTGCCGGCCATTACTGCCCATAACATTAGAACTTGCCATAGAATAGGCCAAATCAATAGCCAACACGGATGATAGGCAAAACCGAGGACCGAATATAACAGAAGCAATAATTGTCAAAGCAATCCTAAGGAAAATCTAAATGTGCACACACGTGATCACAGAACTTTCCCTTCTTTTATGGTTTGAGTACTTCCTATATACATATATTTGTGTGTGTGTGTGTGTGTGTGTGTGTGTGTGTGCTTGCAATACATTACCGAAAGATAATCACGCGTACCGCACAACCCACATGACGTTGTGCCAACGGAGCCCATTTCAACTGAGAAAGAGAAAGGCCTTCGTCCCGTCCCGTTTCACCCCTTACCCCCCTCCCCCCCCTCCCCCCTGCTGCTTACTTTGTCGTATCATCCTGCAAAGTAAAATAGCAAACTGAAAGCATTGTTCTTTCGTTATTTTAACTGGCGTTATTTAACGAATTCCTCGTGTGGAGTATAGCACATTAGCAGGTAAAGTAAATGAAAAGAAAAAAACAAATGACTGAGAGAAAAATATCATTTACGGAAAATCTATGTCCAGTGGGAGGATAAGATTCAAGGGTAGAGCTCACCGTCCTTGGCAACATTGTATTGTATAGGAAGGACTTCATAAATAGCAGGCGATTCGAAAATTAGAAATAAAAGTAGTTTCACTGCTATCGAAATGAAGGATAAGAGGGCGTTAGTTCTCACGAATAATATCATCGTGAGTTCAGCATCGCTAGAACCGTCATCACAATGACGGTCAGCGTTGTTTGCATGTTAAAGAATTAGCAAATCTATCAGCACTCACTTATGACTAATAGTGTTCCGATGACGCACACGCCATTTAAGAGGCCCAGATGCATTTGATGGCGGGACCCCGTTCTGATCGGAGGAAAGAAAGCATCGTTGTGATTTTACGCTGTCTCCTTAAAATTGTACTATAACCCTGAATTGGAACGCTGAATCACAAACATATACCAATATGCATACCTTTTACATGCTTGCAAACGAAATTTCTGCTCGATTTGAAGACACTGTCGGATTTATTTTGGCGACTATACTCAGGTTGATAATGATACGTATCGACAAAAAGAGGATCGAAAGAACCCGTAGAGCTTTGTATAATACGTATACGCATAACTGTGCTTCACGCGAGCGACATTTTTGTTCGAAGCTCTTTTATAACTACTGTCATAGAGGGCAGTACAAGATAGCTGCCAGTTGCTAGCGCCGTAATTCAGGTTATTACCTCACTCATCAAACAATTAGACCACTATTTACCGTTTACTACGTTATTGTAAAGCGTTTGAATACATTTAAACTAGCCGAATATGATCATCTGATGAATGGTAATAGTTATACAGCGTAAGCCCTCCACCGTTCCAGCTAAACCCATGCCAAACCTGCCCGACTCTAAACCTGGCAAGGTTTGCGTGAAATCTCCCAAATCCTTGTCGTGTTTGCGCCAGCATTTTTTGACTTCTGGAAAACTCTAGAAAGAATCGATACAGGCCGATCGACAAAACTGGATATTGTAGATACTTTTGTATGGCATTTTTTTCGGTATCTCGAGAATACTCAACAGCATCGTGTCCTTCACTTCCATATGTCGAGAAGTCCTAATGGTATTCCGGTTTGCCATTGAATTCTGTAATGAGCAATACGACGCAATTATCGACTGCCCAAATCCAGTTCAGTCGGGTTGATGTCAAACATTTAAGCCTGGGACAGAAAGACAGCAGTTGGATAAATCCAGTCGGAGAATTAGTATAGTTCTAAGCTAAATAAGGCGGAGGTAACGTGCCATATTGCCAATAGGATCCGCCAGCACGAATTAAAGAGGACCTATTACTGTGACGAATGAGCTGCAAAAGGACGGTCATAAACTTTTATCTGATATGGCCAAGGTCTTGCTCGAGCGTTGTTTTCAGCTTCCGCCACAAATAACAAACAATCTCGTTAAGACAACAAAGCGTAATTTGTCCTATGTCTCGCAATTTCACAGCCTCGTAATAACAAATCCTGCCGTTAGAACAACAAGTTTTAACCGGTTTGAAACCCTGAGACTACCTTTCTAGTTGGATTTAAAAATTTTCAATGTTTCATTTCAGTACTTGAGTCGCATGTTAGAAGGGGCGCAACAGCTCACTGAAGAGTTGAGTTTCATCAATGTCAGAGAACTAAGGGCTTCAGATTGTCGGAAACGACAGGAACGTACTTTCTATCAAATAGCTACGAAGAATCCAGTTGACGCCTTAACATCAACACATAGTTAATAATAATAATAATAATTACGTTTGCTTATTATTAAATCGATGAAACTTTTAAGTTCAGTCAGTCAGGTCGCGTTGATTGGTAATGCCAAAGTTACATAATACTGCGATTCTTCGTAGCGTGGATCGACGCTCTTCGAAGACCGTTTCGCAATGTTTAGATAGTGGGCATCTATTTGATAGTGTAGCGCGTCAGGACGCTGCGCATCCAACAACAGCAACCAAATGCTAGATTTCAACGGGCTCATTCAACGTTAACAGTTAACTAGTTATTATATATTAGTGTTAATAATCGTTGAATTTAGGTAGACAAGTACAAGATGCCGATGTCCAGAGACATTTTTGCACACAGTATCAAACAGTACTTAGAAAAAAAATGACGATATTTAAGTTTCATATAGGACCTTAGTTGATTGCTTGATATTTCATGATATATGTAATGTCTGGCTTGAGAAGAACTGGTGGAATCGTCATGTGGGCGGTCGTTTTTTCAGGATGACGCTATGTGTGTGGTGGCAGCCTTTTTAAAATAATGATGACCGCTCAGATCCAGAATTTAAGTAGAAATTTCTAATTATGATTGTCAATTTCAGTGGTATAACACACCACTATGATACGCAGTACACAGAAAGAGAGATTTTCACTAAGGAAAGCTACTAAATTTGTATTTAGAAATTATGGCAGCGGTTTGTCTACGAAATGGCTTTCAGCCGTTGGGGCTAGTAGCTGATGAATGTACCACACCTATATTTTACTAAACGTAGATAGATAGGTAATATACATTTTCTTACAGTATATATATATATATATATATATAGGTTCACACACACGCAGACGGATTGCCCAGACTATTTTCTGCTTGCTTTCGCCGCCGTATACAATCAACGAGGGCATTTTATTATATAGCACTAACGTAGCCAGTGGGCAACGTAAAGCTATCTCCTACGATGGCCGGCTACGATGTAATGCGTTTTTTGGCTGTCGTTATCGTCAGACGACTTTTGGCTGGTGACATTGCAAGAATCTGTCCGTGTACGCGATAGTCATAGATCAAAGCAACAACGACACCGTTTACAGAACGAGCCACAACATTGATAGAAGCGTCGGCTGAAAATACAGAAGACGAATCTCGGCCTTTTATGGATCATATCGCCTAAACTAATGATAATCACAATAGGCATAACTATCTATTCGTAGATTTATCTGGTTGAGCCGCATACATTGCGTACACACGATTGGAAACGCACATAGAGACGGATGCATTTAAGCACGAGCGAAAAATCTCATTCAGGTATAGCCGTCATTGTTAGCTGTCGTCGGTTTGCATCGGCCATTGTACTTATATAACGGTATTGTTGTACGGGACATAGCGATACGTCCAGCTAGCTATCTGTCTATCTCACACCACTTTCACCGTCAATTTCGTTTTGTTTGTTGTTGTTTCTGCTGCGAAAGTTCTTATTGTCCTGCACAATCACTTTGGAGATCTTCTACACAGAACTGCACAGTCGTTGTTTCGCGCACGCCATCTGTTGCTGCTACAGCTGCTGAGCCCTACGACGGCCCCGATAGCAACAACAACAGTAGTCACAATAACGACAACGGCAGCAGCGGACCCGTCCTCGCAACGGAGTGCGTGACAGCTCCTCTCATGCGTGGAGTCCGACAATCAGGCCCGAATTTTTTTCATAATCACCATCGTAATTGTTGCCTATTATTACAACTAAGGCCTGTACAATTGTTATGTTAGATGCTGTTCGTCGTGGATGAGGGAGGTCATGTATAAATGAAGAGGGATGAAGTAAAGACAGTGAAAATCGTTCGTGTTGCCATTGTGTCGATCGTTGTTGTTGCTGCTGCTAGCGGACGATAACGGAGCTCTTCCATCGTTGGGGAGGGTGCGGGGGTCTGGTATAACGCCTACGACTGATACATTGCTGTTCGTCATAGCGTAACGCATATAGTAGGTAGTAAACCGCTGAAATGGCATGATATACATAATGTCTGCTACGAGCCGGTGCGCTTATCAGTAGCTGAATTTGGCGCACGGCTATAAACATACACTATTTTATAGTTGGATAACCAATAAATCTAAATGTGTACTCTTTAACGATGCTCGCGTGCGGAAATAACCAGAAATTACTTATGCAATGATGAAAATAAAACTGTATATATTCAGTGTACACATGAAGAACCCGTCTGATTATGATATATGGCCACTACAAATGAAATAAGTACATAGCAGAAGACATATTCGTGCAACTCCATTAACGGGGTGCCTGTCTGCGTGTTTTTCGGGACTACGTGCAGCGCCTGTTAAGCCGCGTGTTGGACCAGTTCAGTTTAAAAAGTTCACCTAAGTAAGCTACGTTTCTTGCTCTTGCATTTATTA